AGATTCAGTATTCCTCAAAATGAATAAAAATAATGCAACTCAGAATATGACGCAAACCTGCAATAATTAAATGTTAAACAACACAAATATGCTTTATGTATTTAATCCCATTCTATTAACCAATGTCTTTACTTCTGAGCTTCGATGATCCAGTTCAACCGTACTAATAAACAAACATGACTCTAGACAAACATTTGTGTTTTTTTTGTTTTTTTTTACTGCTGAAGTGTGTTGAAATGTCGTCTTCTGTATTCTACTGTACGGATGTAAATTTACTTTCCCTTCAGGCTGAGGCTTATTCATTTCACTTTTGGTGTGAAAAGGCTTTTATATTTGCCAAAACTATAACTTTTTTTATTTTAAAATCAAACAAGCAAGTCCTGTCCAGATTTAAAAAGTAATGCAAAAGTAACGTAACGCATTATTTTATTTATTTATTTATTTATTTTAATTTTTTTTTTTTTTTGCAATCAGAAACGAGACAAATACCCCTCAATGTCCCACTGTATGAGTTCTCCCACTCACCCGATTTCATCTCTCCTAGACTTTTCACAGCAAACAACTGGATGTTTCATACAAATGCAACTGTGGATCAGATCTTCTGCAATGGCCCTGAAGCTAACCAGGGCAAGAAGATCAATGACCTTGTGGCGCAGTCATTTGATTGCATAACAACAGGTTGGTAATATTACAGACCGCTTGTGTTTTCTTGACTTCGAATGAAAGTAATGCTTAACATGTGTCTGTTTGTTCTACAGATTTTTCATTGTTGATCTCTTGAGTTTCAGCCTTTCGTTGGCAGGTGCAGTTTCATGGAATGGTATCATGTGCAAATGGAGTTCAGGAACTTTGATAATATCACAAGTAAGCAAACAGCAGTGGAAATGTATGGGGGTAGAATCGTTGCATAATTCCAAATAAATACATTAAACCTTACTCAAGCATATGAAATGTTACTGGGAAACTTACTTCGACACATTTATTGATAAAATAGAACAGTTAGATCTCGGAAAATATAATTGAAAATATATTCTATAAAGTAGATAATAGGATGTGCGCTCATTGGCGCCCCTTCAGCTGGTGTCGCCCTAGGCGACCCCCTAGCTCGCCTATGCCTAGAAACGGCCCTGAGTGGAGCACAAAAAGGTAAATTTATAAATAAGGGTAAATTTTTCGAAAAATTGAGATTTATACATCATCTGAAAGCTGAATAAATAAGCTTTCCATTGATGTATGGTTTGTTAGGAGAGGACAATATTTGGAGATACAACTATTTGAAAATCTGGGTGCAAAGAAATCAAACTATTGAGAAAATCATCTTTAAAGTTGTCCAAATGAAGTTCTTAGCAATGCATGATACTAATCAAAAATTAAGTTTTGATATATTTACAATATTTTTCAAAATATCTTCAAGGAACATGATATTTACTTAATATCCTAATGATTTTTGGCATAAAAGAAAAATCTATAATTTTGACCCATACAATGTATTGTTGGCTATTGCTACAAATATACCCCAGTGATTTAACACTGCTTTTGTGCTCCAGGGTTTCAATTAGGCTTAATTTTCTTTATGCAAAGCACCATTTCTTCTTTTTTCTCCTTTCGATTTTGGAGTGAAATATGACTAGGAGGTTTATGTCAGATTCACCCGCCTTTTCTCAGCATGAAGACTCTTTGCAGATGACTTGCATGATGGTGCCGTTAATTAGGTACCGCAACTGAAATTATCCAAGGTTTTCTTTTACATGATCTTCTCATGCACTCATTCATTTCTGTTGTGTTTTTACTTTGTGACTGCTGTACTTTCCTTGAAATACATGCTATTCTATTTATTCATGTTTATCTCAAATGAATGTGACAAATTGTTTACTGCTTTCTCAACTTGTAAACAATGTATTTTTATGTGGCAGCTGGGTGACATGGGTGGAAATTTGAAATACACATTGACAGTTTGAGTAGTGTAGCGATTGCCTGTTTGTTTGAACTGTATTAACTACTAACAGTATAACCAATGTCAGTACCGTTTTCAACAAGATGAAAATATTTGTAAAGAGATGAAGAGATTCTCTATCACCACTTGATGAAACTGTGATGTTGTTCTACTGGATACGTTTATGCATGCAGTTTCATGCCTACATTTTGGAGACACTGATACTAACTTTAAATAAAGACTTTCCAGAATCTTAACCGTTGTATATTGTCAAATTGCAAGAGGTAATTATTCAGTGATTCAGGATGAAATTAGTTTTTGTTTCTGCTTGGAAAGAGTGCTAAGATATTATGTAGGCCCAGCTAATCAATGTCTTCAGGATTGTTAGAAACACCAGGAAGGTGTGTTAGGCCCCATGCTGGTTTTTATATAAACAGGACGTGATTATAACATTATATGAATTATAAGAAGAAAAAAATCAACATTTGAGATGATAATAGATGTATTTCCCTTTATTTTGAACTGTTTTTGTTCAGCATACAAATAATGATGGTCAACAATTGAAAATCAATTTTTATTAAAGACCAAAAAGTTCCATAACAGGATATTAATGTATTTTTTCATCCTTGTTAAAAGCTCTGAGATATCTGTGTTTCAGCTGGAGAGTAATGTCAGGCTGAAGCCTATTTATTTGAAAGCAGATGAATTATGAGAAATTGCAAAGCCAGAATCAGGTTATTTTCATGTCATCAGTGCAAAACATAGGTTAGCAATGCAACTAAACCAACATACGATACCCATACACAAATGTTTTGACAAACTTTTAAGATGCCGGAGGTCACCGCTTTCACTTTCTATGTTTACTGACAAAATACACATCAGCTGAAAGATCTCAAATTTGTGCTTGACCATTGTTTTATATCTATTAGTGACCAAAATTTGCAGGTTAGGGTTAGAAAGAAGGACTCCAAAAATTGTGCCCCTTCAAAAAAAATTAAAAAATTTAGGTAGATGACTCAACATTCCTGTGCCAAAACACTACTGTCTGCTGACAACAGTTAAGCAATAGTCAGCGAGAAAGCTGTTATACAGTAGAGTCGTTCAGTCACGTACACCTTCACATCAATGAATTCAATCAATGAAAGTGCAAACAATTGCAGGAACATTTAATAAAGACATGGCACTGAGTAAATGCTTGTTCTTAAATTAGCAAGGCTCCAGACTTAAAAAAGACAACGGAGAATTCAAATTTATTTAGGAATCAACTGCAGTCACTTTTTTTGTTGTTGTCAAGATCATTATTACAAATTTATGCATAACCGCTTATACACTCCATTTAAGAGCTGCCCTACAACTTGCAATTAAATCTAATCTCCTTTCACTTTTGAGGTTATTTCACTCTGAACAGACCAAACACACCATTATTACTGACATGCTTCTGATAAAAACATGTTTAAAAAGGCTGTCAGTCAGGCAAGGTTTAAAATTGCAAAATTAAGCATTTGTAGCATAATGTTGATTACAATCAAACTAAAGAATTTTGATGCAAAAAAAAAGGAGAGAGAGAAAGATTACAATGGAATTAAAAGGTGCCAATTGTTGAAGGATTTAAAAATGTGAACTTCCTGTGATGTGGCTTGATGAGTTTCCGTTAATGTGCTGACAAATTTCTGATTAAAAAAGACTCCCAATTTATATTTGACATGAAACTGTTACAGAACATAACTGGTCATTTTTAGTAATGGTTATAGTTTAGTAATGGAAAAGCGTGTCATTTATATGGAAGCATGGCACCAGTCGTGTTATTCCGTTTATGACGCCGAGGCTGTCTAACCGTTTGAGACGTTTGTTCTCAAACCTATCGTGTCCCCAGTTTTTTAACTGACAAACTCTGACAGCAAGCAGAACTCGTACTTGCAAATGTGAATAAACTCACGATAAGATGATGCTTTTGGTAACCGTGCTGTACTTGAGTGTGACTAACAATCACCCATCCTTCATATACAGTAGAAATTCATTCAAAAGCATCCATTCTATTCTGTTGATGAATACTTCTCAGTGGTTGATCACACTCAGTATCCTCTCTACACCATCTCCTCTGCGACTCGGCCTCAGACGATGATGAAATACGACAAAACCAATAAAGTTTTTAGATTGGAAATTAGCAATATAAAATGTTATTTTTTGTCACATTGGCAACCATTTTAGTGGCATAATATGAATAAGATTCAGGTTCTTTTTTGTATGACTGCAAGTCAAAGACACATTAGAACAGTCAGCAGTTCATAACATCTCAGCGTCGCTGCGTGTAGCTTTAATGCAAGCAGTCTGGGTGTGTATAAATGTGTGAAGCAGCAGTAGTGTTAGAAGGGGTAGGGTCCCACGATGATGGTGAGCCGTAGCAAAGAGCTTGAGCGATAGTTCATCACTGTGTGTTGAGTGATCATCTCCAGATCAACGATCAGCTCCTGTGGGCCCTCCAGGGACTTGGTCAAGACCAGCATCGCACCAACGCTGCTGAACCGCTAATGCAATTAACAACAAATACATGGAAATCAGACATACGGCAAAACAGCGAAATATTCCCAAAATATCATCGAATTTCCTCAATGATGGTGATGAGAAATAAATGTAGTTTTAATCAAAATCTACATTATTTGTGTGCAGACTGACTAAATTAACAAGCAGACATGAGGTAGTGGTAGAGCACTCTTCAATTCACAGCCTCGAAAGAGGTAACCTAGTTTTTTAAAGGGGTCATATACTGCTTCATGCACTTTTACAAGTTGTTTGAACTGAACTGTGTGTTGGCAGTGTGTGTACACAATCACCCTATAGTGATAAAAATCCACCCAGTGGTTTTTTGTTAATCTACTAAAATCTTTACCCCTTTCTCAAATCGAGCCGATCTCAGATGCCGGTCTGTGTGACGTCACACAGACAGGCCCCTCCCACGATAGTTTGATTGACAGTAGTGTTTCAGCACAGCTCTTAGCTTAGCTCCGCCCTGAGTGAGCTGTCATCAGTCCGCCATTGTTTCACCGCCGGAGCAGATGTAGACAAGAATGACTCTTAAGCAATCGAGGTGTTCTGTTGTTGGATGTAATAATGAACATAGCAGTCCTCATTTACTCCCGACATCTGAGCTGCTGAAGACACAGTGGATTACATTTTTTCTGAAGGGTATGCACCCTTGATCTACATAAATGCGTCTATGTTCGCGTGAATCTTTCATGATCCAGCCTCATCTACAGAAGAAGTGAGTGTAGGGTTTTTTTAACGAATCTTTGCAAATCGCCTTTCCTAATAATGTGCTAATTAGCTAGTTTCACGATGAATGCGGCTAAAGTAAACAGTCTCTCTGAGAGCAGCTCGGAAGAGAGGGGCGGGGGCAGCAGAGCTCATTAACATTTAAAGGAAAATGCTACAAATCTGCATGTTCTGAAAAGAGCCGTTTTTGACAGGGTAAAAAAGGTGTTTTTACACTACCATTGAGAAATTTTAACCAAACTATGTTACAGAATTTTCATTAAGACCCTAAAGAATCATATCAACTTGTGGAAAATGGGCATCCTATGACCCCTTTAAGGAAGTTATAAGCCTTATATTTGGCAGAACATAGTCTTCCTAATTCTGCTGTGAGCCAGTTGTTGTTGTTGTTAAAGACCCTGCATGTATATAGTATTTGTTCAATTCAGGCATCTCCATATGTCACATGAAATTGTGTGGTACATATTTACAACATACCAACATACAGTAGCTCCAAATACCAAATACATTGGGTAGCTCCCCCTCATGCTGCCAAAACAGCTCTTAAAACCTCTGAATGTGTCCTGTAGTAGCTAGCATCAAGACATTAGTAGAAGATCCTTTAAGTCCTGCTTGTGAGGTGGGGCATCCATGGATTGGATTTGTTGGTCCAGCACATCCCATAGATGCTCAATCGGATTGAGATCTGGGGAATTTGGAGGCCAAAGCAACACCTTGAACTCTTTGCCATGATCCTCAAACTATTCCTGAACTGTTTTTGCAGTGTGTCAGGGTGCATTATCCTGCTGAAAGTGGCCATTGTTATCAGGTTTCCCCAATACAACATTGTCCAGAGAATGACTCTGTCTCTGTCGGTATGCTTTTTTCCCATAGTGCATCTGCTGCCATCTCTTTCCCAGGTAAATGACTCACACATACCCACCTGAACTAGAAGACCAGGCAATCTTCTTCCACTGCTCCATGCTCATGTACCCACTGTAGATGCTTTCATGGCTGACAGGGTTTGTCATGGGCACTCTGACCGGTTTACGCAGATTCATACGCCGCAAACTGTGATGCACTGCATGCTTTGACATCATTCTATCATGGGCAGCATTGTTGGTTTTTTTTGCATTTTTATACTACATTATCTGTTCTGTGTGATCGGACTGGTCTGCCTAGTATTTGTTCCCTTCATGCACATCAATGAGCCCATGACCCTGATGCTGGTTCACTGATGGTCCTTCCTTGCATCACAGTTGGTAGGTACTCTACTAACCACTGCATACCAGGAATACCCCACCAGACTTGATGTGTTGGAGCTGCGCTGACCCAGTCGTCAATTCAAAGTCACTCAGATCTCTTCACTTGCCCATTTGTCCTGCTTTCAACTCATGAAATTCAGGAACTAATAGTATATTTGCTGCCTAATATATGAAACTCCTTAACCATGTAATGATGAAATCAATGTTATTCACTTCACCTATTAATGTTGTGGCTGATCAGTGTACAGTAGCTAGGACAGGTCAGGCAACAATTCACCTTGAATCAATCTTTAAATGTGGCTATTGTAGCGTCTGGACCACTCAAACACACAATATATATTTTGTTAGCTAGATTTAACAAATACTCTGTAACACCCCAGGAAGCTGAACAGGCCCTTGGTTCCATAGCAATGCTGACACCAGATACTTTTACGACTTTGTGGAATGTGAGCAGAGACTCTCAGCTGCATTTTCCAGAAGCAAGAGGCACAAAGGCAGTGTAGAAATGGACTTTTCTACTAATTAATTCATAGGAAAACCTTTCTTTGAATGAACACACATGATCCTTCAGCTCATTGGGTATATTATTGTCATTGTGTATTTGGTCTTTGAAATTGTATACTGTTATGCAGGGATCAGGGCCGGGCAACAAAAACAGTTTGCACTGACTGGATGAGTGTAAGCCAGCAGATCGTTATTTTATGTGCTTTGTAAAATGTGCACTTCATTGGGTATTCATAAGATTAATTTATCCTCACTCAATGTACCTACAGGTACAGTAATGAATACATCCCAAAGAAATCAGTGGACAAAGTTTTGAAAGTTCTTTAAGTACTTGTCAATTCATTATGTATTACTCCATTACAACAATTTGAATGATGTATCATGGTCTTGTTTTGTATGTAAAATTTCAGGCTCCTTTATATTACCACAATGCCCATTAAATCGGTGTAAAGTTGATGGTGGAAAGAGTGATTCTGGACTTTATCTCCAAAAGAGCATGTGCTGAGCGTGTGTTGCACATACACTTCTCACAAGTAGCCCACACCAGAGGTAACTCAACTCAAACTTATTCATAAAGTTCTTTCAAAACTAGACCAAAGTTCTGTATGGAGAATCACACTGCAGAAACATTACTGAAACAACTACTGTAAATCAGAGCACCCAATTTACAATACAGTCTTCAATGACAAACCATTTCACAGTCTTGAGGCTGCAACAGCAAAGTCACAGTCATACCTTCATTTCAGATGAGAGCAAAGAAAGACGGAGCTGATCTGATCCCCATCAGGGTGAAGCGGAGGCTACTTATCTACTACACTGTGGCTACTTGTGTTATCATTTAATCCATTACAGTACACAAAACAGTCGTCCTGGCAAAAAGATGAACACAGCAACAATACTACGGTACTATTAATATACTGAACTCCTCCAATTTCATTTTCAATACTATAACAAAAATGCAAGATTGGAGCATCTGTGTTTGTATGAAACCAGAGAGAACAAATCCGTGATACCTGGATGAATGGTATGTTATTCAGCGTTGCTTGTTACTGGGAATAACACACCTCAGAATGTCGCAACTGACAAGTCAGCATCAAGTATAAAAGCACCTTATATTGGATTCAATACTTTATCAGCAACCAGTGTAATGATGCAGGTGAGATGTGGTCTCTTTTTGTTATTTGTTAAAAATCCTATATCATGATATGAGTACATTTATTTCACTAAAAGTACTATAAAAGTAGTATTATGCTTTTAATTCCAAATATATAAAGATGAAACCTGGCACGGTACAATTAAACACTATCTAAACAGACTTTCTCCCATCCTCCTCCCACTGGATCCCCGTCTTCCTCCAAAATAGCTCCCCATCCGAGCATCACACCACTCACTTACATAGGCACTCTCTGTCCAGAATTAAAGCACTTACAGTATTTAAAAGTGACAGTGACACTGTTATTAAAGTTTATTTAAATCACAAATAAACTGAAATAAGATGCAATGCAGTAAAAAATAATAATAATAATAATAATTATATTTCCCCACAATGATAAATGTGCTGTCAAATATCCTGCTCTGCACTTGGGAAAGAAAGAGCTTGGGGAAACAATCGGTGCTGAGTTCATTTCTTGCCTAATGTTTTCCTATTTTATCCAGATATTCCAAAGCAACTGACACAGAGAAATGCTTACATTCAGCATGATCGAGACATTTATATTTGATGATGTGATACTGGGGAAAACAAAACTGAATTACCTGCATGTGTGCAATGTGCTACACAAATCAGGCCTTACCTTGCATAACAAGAAACTGTGTTAAAACTGAATGTGAGAAGAGATAAAGAATGAATGCACAGTGTGACCAGAAATATCTAATTTGTCAACAAAAGACTTGCATTGACTGACATTTACGGCCTGAAGCTACTAATGCAGCTGGCTTACAGCACCACCCAGTGGTCAAACCACAATAGTCTGATGCTTTCTTTGTACTTCAAAACCATTTAAAAAAAATGTTGACCATTGCCAAAAACATGATTTGTCAGAGAGATATCAAATGAAATGACTTTACCAGTTTGAGAAATACAAAAATGAAAGGTTTGGTTACCCACCCTAAGGAAGAACTCTCCTCCATCATTGCCAGCTCTAATCCTGAAGGTGTAGTGTGCACTGGGGAAGATGTTTGTGGCTTGAATCTGGAAGATATCTGCTGGTACGCTGCGCTCTGAATGAATGCTCATGTATTTGTAAACAATAGACTGCGACAGGCCTCGACATGCACCCGCAGACTGGCACGAACACCGGCTAGGAGTGAAAGCAAGAATATTACTCTTCTATTTTTTTTCCTTTCCATGCTTAAGTGTCTCTGGTCAATTTCTGTGATCTTCATCTCTAGCTCTAGTACTAGGATATAAACACAGACTGACTTACTTTTCCGACGTCAGCACGTAAGGCTCCAGACACGGGTTCTGAGGGTAACAGCGATGACCTCCGTAATAGTTCCAGCACATCTCATCTTCCCTACACTCGTGGCCTGTGTCACACTCATTGATGTCTATGATACCAGAGAAAAGACTGTGATTAGCAACATGTCATATTTACTGTAGTCTATATATGAGAATACAGGCCTTCCAACAGGCCAAACAACCCAAGTGTAATATTGCTTTTTAACAATAGTTTAATACGTTGGTTATTAGTAACTATTTATATGGACAGTTAGTTCACATATTTCTTCTCTAACAACAAAAACAGTCTAAAACCAGTCAAAGCATCAAGTAAGGGTGCGCAATATCAACTGTCTACAACACCACATTGTCGAGGATGTCATTCACTTTACAAAGCCCAAACAAAAACATGCCTTGCATACTTTCATTATCAAGGTGTTCATTTGACAACCCAAACAAAAATCAAGATATGGGGGCAAACAAAAGTATATGTACATCATAAAATATAGTTAAGCAGCATCATACAAACAAGATTTTTTTCCCGATTAAGGGCACGATTGCAAATGTGACGCTTTATACAACAGTTTAATAAACAAAAAGTTAATAACGAGTGACAATCCAAGAACTCTTAGATTGTCTTTTGAACTGTTCCTGAATTTTCACAGTTCCTGTTGGTTACTTCTTGCGTTAGATCGGTTTCCTTAGCAGCTTATTATGTTCACCTGTGTCTAGTTTAGTTCATCAGTATCCTGTGTCTAATAGCTCTTTATTGTTTCAGTTGTCCTTTGCAAGTTCTTGTTTTGCTATGTTAAAGGTAGTGTAGGCAATTTTTTCCAGAAATATTTTTTTGTTGAAAGTCTGTTCACATCCTGATAGCAATGAATAATTACAGCAAGTTAGGAAGTAAATATATATATATATTTGCATACCTACACACTGCCAATAGAGATAGTTTGGGGCGTGGCTACTGTAACAGGCTGACCAGAGAGTGTTTAGCCGATTTTAAAAGAGCACGCCAAAATACACAGAGACAGATGATGGGGTGAAACAAGGGTAAACACTGGCAGTACTGTTAAACCCCATTCACACCAAGAACGATAACTATAAAGATAACGATTTTAGCGTCCACACCAGCGAACGACGAAGTGCACATGCGTCTGCCTCTTTAAATTCTCAAGCTCGTTACAGCAGGATGGATTGTGATTGGCTGTCAGTGTTTTATCCTTCATCAGCTGGAAAAAAATCGTTTTGAAAGTGATCACAACGATATCGTTCCTCTGTATCGTTATTGTTATAGTTGTGGTGTGAACTATGCTATTCTTTAATATTGAGAACGATTTTTAGAACTATATCTTTATCGTGCTTGGTGTGAACGGGGCTTTACAAGATGAAGGAACTTGATGGAATGTTTGGGTTTAAATCAATATGAAGAACTTGCGGTTTCTTTTTGACAGGTAAGCTAAACTTCAAGTTAAAAGTATTTCTAATATGTTGCACCTTTTATTGACCTACTTTTACCTGTTAAGACATGCCTACACTTTTATAGACCTGTAAGAGCTGTGTTTGTGTTTCCTCCTCGGCTAGTTCTGTCCAGTACCCTGGCCCCACCTCACTTCCCTGACTCAGCCTTCTTTGCCGGTTCCATCTAATCTCCTGGCTCTGCCTCCTTTGCATGATGGATAAACTCTTCTATGGATTATCCAAAGCAGTTTACAGATGAGGAACATCACAAGCGGAGATATGATACTCAAACCATAGCACTGAATCCAGTGTTTCTAAATCAAAGCAGACCACTCTTTACGCCGTTCTGCAGAAAATCTAAGTCACAGACCTGATGGGCAAACAGAATATTTTGCCTTTGGTTGATCATCTTTGTTGATAGTTGTAATAAAATATTTAAGAAGTTCATCATGAGGCTTAATAAAATCCTTCCCTGCAGACAGACCTACAGAACCTCGGACACATATTTGGTGTGTTTGTACTGGTCCTAAGAGCCGTTCTTATTAGCATGTTCTTCAATTTCCATTGAGTGCATATGAAAAAAGGAAAAAAAACCTTTGTAGGAAACCTTTCCTCGCTGAGGAATTCCTGACGTTGTTGATCAGCAAACATAATTTATTGGCAAAGACCTTCAAGCTTTGATTCAGAATTTAGATATCAGGCTAAAGTTTCACATTCCTGAGTATCCTCAAAACAGATGAACAATGTGGAGTTGCAAATTAAACCTTTGAAAGACCCCCTTACATCAACATAGAGGGTGGGCACTACATTTGGCTGTTCCAGTAAACCCTATGATCGATTCCAACTGGTCTCTCTCCTTTTGAAATATGTTGTGCTAACAGATTCACCTTTAATTTGAAGCTCCTCTTACTCTTGTCCACCCTATGAGATCTTTTAAATTCCTTTGTTAAATATTTGAAATCAAATTCTTGGCAGAACTGTTAAGCATATGAGTCACAAGTCAAGTAATGAATGTGCTCTTTCTGTAAGAATAACTCTAATCACTATAAGGGGGACTTGGGGACTGATGATTTAAAACTCTGGTGTTCACTCGTCTTTCTTTCTAACTGAAATGATTTTCTCTAAAGCCTAATGCACTTGGCAAGCAGAAAGTGCACTCAAACCAAGCACAGGAAGATCCAGCGTTAGCACTTACCCACACATGAGACTGAATCCGGCGCGAGTTCATAACCCTGATCACACTGACAGACATATGAGCCCAGGAGGTTGAAACACTGATGTTGGCACGGCTGAGTCTGATCACACTCATTCACATCTGAAACAAAAGCCAAATCCATACACAGTTACTGAATACAATTATATCGGTAATCTATCTACAGGTAATTTACTCATAGTTATATTCAGCACAATTCCAAGTGTAATATTGCTTTTTAACAATAGTTTAATACGTTGGTTAATAGTAACAATTTATTTGGACAGTTCACATATTTCTTCTCTAACAACAAAAACAGTCTAAAACCAGTCAAAGCATCAAGTAAGGGTGCGCAATATCAACTGTCTACAAGACCACATTGTCGAGGATGTCATGCACTTTACAAAGCCCAAACAAAAACATGCCTTGCTAGTGCATACGTTCATTATCAAGGTGTTCATTTGACAACCCAAACAAAAATCAAGATATGAGGGCAAACAAAAGTATATTTACATCATAAAATATAGTTAAGCAGCATCATACAAACAAGTTTTTTTCCCGATTAAGGGCACGATTGCAAATGTGATGCTTTATACAACAGTTTAATAAACAAAAAGTTAATAACGAGTGACAATCCAAGAACTCTTAGATTGTCTTTTGAACTGTTCCTGAATTTTCACAGTTCCTGTTGGTTACTTCTTGCGTTAGATCGGTTTCCTTAGCAGCTTATTATGTTCACCTGTGTCTAGTTTAGTTCATCAGTATCCTGTGTCTAATAGCTCTTTATTGTTTCAGTTGTCCTTTGCAAGTTCTTGTTTTGCTATGTTAAAGGTAGTGTAGGCAATTTTTTCCAGAAATATTTTTTTGTTGAAAGTCTGTTCACATCCTGATAGCAATGAATAATTACAGCAAGTTAGGAAGTAAATATATATATATATTTGCATACCTACACACTGCCAATAGAGATAGTTTGGGGCGTGGCTACTGTAACAGGCTGACCAGAGAGTGTTTAGCCGATTTTAAAAGAGCACGCCAAAATACACAGAGACAGATGATGGGGTGAAACAAGGGTAAACACTGGCAGTACTGTTAAACCCCATTCACACCAAGAACGATAACTATAAAGATAACGATTTTAGCGTCCACACCAGCGAACGACGAAGTGCACATGCGTCTGCCTCTTTAAATTCTCAAGCTCGTTACAGCAGGATGGATTGTGATTGGCTGTCAGTGTTTTATCCTTCATCAGCTGGAAAAAAATCGTTTTGAAAGTGATCACAACGATATCGTTCCTCTGTATCGTTATTGTTATAGTTGTGGTGTGAACTATGCTATTCTTTAATATTGAGAACGATTTTTAGAACTATATCTTTATCGTGCTTGGTGTGAACGGGGCTTTACAAGATGAAGGAACTTGATGGAATGTTTGGGTTTAAATCAATATGAAGAACTTGCGGTTTCTTTTTGACAGGTAAGCTAAACTTCAAGTTAAAAGTATTTCTAATATGTTGCACCTTTTATTGACCTACTTTTACCTGTTAAGACATGCCTACACTTTTATAGACCTGTAAGAGCTGTGTTTGTGTTTCCTCCTCGGCTAGTTCTGTCCAGTACCCTGGCCCCACCTCACTTCCCTGACTCAGCCTTCTTTGCCGGTTCCATCTAATCTCCTGGCTCTGCCTCCTTTGCATGATGGATAAACTCTTCTATGGATTATCCAAAGCAGTTTACAGATGAGGAACATCACAAGCGGAGATATGATACTCAAACCATAGCACTGAATCCAGTGTTTCTAAATCAAAGCAGACCACTCTTTACGCCGTTCTGCAGAAAATCTAAGTCACAGACCTGATGGGCAAACAGAATATTTTGCCTTTGGTTGATCATCTTTGTTGATAGTTGTAATAAAATATTTAAGAAGTTCATCATGAGGCTTAATAAAATCCTTCCCTGCAGACAGACCTACAGAACCTCGGACACATATTTGGTGTGTTTGTACTGGTCCTAAGAGCCGTTCTTATTAGCATGTTCTTCAATTTCCATTGAGTGCATATGAAAAAAGGAAAAAAAACCTTTGTAGGAAACCTTTCCTCGCTGAGGAATTCCTGACGTTGTTGATCAGCAAACATAATTTATTGGCAAAGACCTTCAAGCTTTGATTCAGAATTTAGATATCAGGCTAAAGTTTCACATTCCTGAGTATCCTCAAAACAGATGAACAATGTGGAGTTGCAAATTAAACCTTTGAAAGACCCCCTTACATCAACATAGAGGGTGGGCACTACATTTGGCTGTTCCAGTAAACCCTATGATCGATTCCAACTGGTCTCTCTCCTTTTGAAATATGTTGTGCTAACAGATTCACCTTTAATTTGAAGCTCCTCTTACTCTTGTCCACCCTATGAGATCTTTTAAATTCCTTTGTTAAATATTTGAAATCAAATTCTTGGCAGAACTGTTAAGCATGCTAATATGACCGACATCAGCTAGGCCTTCTTGCCCTTATATCGTACTGAAATCTATTTCACTTTATGGTATTAAGAGTGACAATAAGAGTAAAACGATAACGTACTACTTTAATATATTAGAAGATTCCTGTATGTTGCCTAATAATGATTCTTCTACAGTCAATATAACACTTAAAAACACAGACTGCTATTTAATGTTTTAATATTTTTTAGATTAACTCAAACAATCCCCTTCAACACCTTGCAATTTTTTAATTAATTGGCTCAATGTAATGTGCTACTTACAAAGAGAGGGTTGTACATTAAGAGAGAGAGATACTGCAGGATATCTTGAATTCCATTGAACACACACTCTTGTGCAAAGCTGTGCAGACAGGAAGGCAGGTTAGGTCTTTGACTCACCTACACAGCTGTGGTTGTTGCTGGCGAGCTGGTAGCCATCTTTACACTCACAGTAATAAGAGCCAGCAGTGTTCACACATCTGTGCATGCAGTAGTGTGATAGCATACATTCATTTCTATCTGCAAAGAGGTTTACACACACAGTGCTTGATTAAACTTATATAGGATTCTTAACACATTTACAGGGTGATAGAAAAAACTTTTTTCGTAGACGAAGATTATTTTCTTAATAGACCAAGTCTGATGTTGAAGGTAATGAAGACAATTATTAATGTATTTGAGAATGTTTTATTAAATAAAATCATTCTAGGGAGTTCAATGAATTTAAAGGGGGGGGGGGGGGTGTTAATTGGGGTTTTAT